AAACGAAGAGGGGGTGTAGCACGGAAGTGTAACACGGAATGAACCAGATGCGAGGTTCGACGACTTGGTCGACTTGGTGGCGCCCGCCATTGGCGTCGCTGGCATGCATGACTGTCAGCCATCAACACGAGCTGAGGTACAGTAGCGCGGCTTGGGGGACCCAATCGTGCTGCATGCACACCACAGCGGCCAGCCGTGGCTCCCCAGCTGTTCCCGTCCCGCCAGGCCCAATCAGCGCTTCACCCCCACCACCAGGGCCGTTTCAGGTTCCCCAGAAAGGGAAGTGCCGGTGGCTGAGGAACGGCGACGGCGGCCAGCACAGGCAGGTGCCTTGGTTCCTGGACCGGAGCGGTGTGGCGTGACCGAGTTGCCGTATCCATTGGCTGCAGTAGGGCGAGGCCAAGAGGAGCGAATCTAAAAATATTAACGAGTGCTTGTCGAGCCAGTGTCACATGAAGGGGCACGGACGATATACGACATCTTGTGAAGCATCCACTGTGCCACTCTATCGGACATACCCAACTAGTATCTACGTGTGTCCCTGGGTATCAACGCTCAGTATCCAACTCAGCTGTCTGGCTCAGTTGTCTGGCTCAGCTGGTCTTCGCCTTGGCGGCATTTCTTCGCCGCTTCCTGTTGCTCTCCCTCACGCGCACTATATCTCGCTTCTGCAGCATCGAGGTGACGGACTCGTAGATGATGTCCCTCATCACAAAGACAACGGTGACGGCGACGGTGGGGATGGAGATTTTCCAGCTGCAAGCAGGGCGTCAGCAAAACAGATGCCATGCACGCGAGGATAGACTGTATTCCACTCACAAGTACTGCACGTCGTACTGCAACACGTCAAACGGCTGGAAATTCTGTCCAAAGTATCCGGTGATGAAGGTCAACGGGAGGAAGATGATCTGTAAGGGGCACCAAAAATGTCAGTACAGCACTCTCTCCACAAACGCCCGGCCTGGGTTAAAACTGCACCGACCGTCATCAGGGTGAGTTGCTTGAGGCTCTCGTTCTGGTAAGCCGAGATGGTGTTGAAGATCAGATCGATCATGCCCTCTGCCTGATCCCTCAGCTGCTGCAGCGTTTCGGTAATGAGGACGCAGTGATCGAGCACGTCGCCGAGATACGTGTGCGTCATGGGCCTGTCCCATAATCATAATCAGCTTCGTACCTCTGATCGACTGTCGCAAAACACACACTCGAATCCAATTCTTACGTTACGATAACCCCCTTCTTTGGGTTTTGTAAATGCTGGGACGCGAGCTCCTGATGCATCTCGGTTTTGTGGTCCCGGAGCGAGTTGACCAGGCCGATGATGGGGTTGATGAAGCTCAGCATCTTGTTGATCTCGGTGATGGTGATGTAGACCTTCTTTGTATGCGTGAGGTTTGGCCGTGTCAAGACGTCAAGCTCCAGGTCGCCTATCACGTCGCCGTAGCACGCCGCCACCGGGATGGCCAGATCGATGATGGCGTCCATGATGGCCTGCCCTATCATGGACGCATCGCAGGACTGCCGCAGGATGGTGTCGGGCGTGCCTAGCCGCGTGAGGATAGGCACCTCGACGTCGGCCGCCGACAGCTCAAAGAAGGATACGACGGTGTTGTCGTCGGTTATGAAGATGGAAACCTGCTCCGCCGTGACGGCCAGGTTCTTCTCCGAGAGCACCGAGAACTTTTCCATGAAGTCAGTCCGCGCATCGTTGGGCGACGCGTGGTACCGCTGCAGCGTCCTGACCGTGTTCGCCTGCGACATATCTGAGAGCCCGGTGTTCTGAGAGGCCAGATTCTGGGGAACCTGTCCCTGGCCGTTCTCCATGGAGCGCAGCGACGACGTTTTAGGAGCAGATTGGGCCGTTTTTGACCCTGACCGCCACCAGCGCTTCAGCTTCCGACGAAAGCCCCCTCCTTCGGACCCATTGCTGGAGCGGCTCGCACCGTCATCGTCGGAACCGGAGTCGGAATCCTCGGGGTCCTTCAGGTGCACCAGTTTTTGGAGAGTGAGGATGATGCATGCGTGCGTAGAGTACCAGTCGGCCTTGGTCCTGTTTCTCGTGTTCAGGATGTCCTCGATGGCCAACTTGTGCAGTCGCTTGTGTTTGCCAAGCGTCTGTATGACGTCCCAGCTCAGGCCGTTGACGTTGATCCAGCGGCACCGCACCCACAGCGGCTGCGGCTCTTCCAGGAAGCCGGGCAGGGTATCGTTGTCGAGGTGGTGCATGACCATGTCCTTCTGGGAAAAATCGACGACGGTGATCTCGCAAGGGTGCTGGAAGGCGTCAATCGAAGCATGGCCGCCGTCGGGCTTGTTGGGATCGACGCCGGGCTCGGCGCCGGGGTGCCAGCCAGTGCGCACGTCGAAGTCCTCAAAGTCCTCGACGGTGCGGAAGGTGGCGGCGCGCGTGTTGCGTCGGCGCAGGATGGGCGAAAGCCCGTCAGGGGCGCGCGACATTGCGGTGCCGACGCGGACGACGCCCTGCTTGGGCGCCGCCGACGCTTTTGGGAGGCCATCGGAGCTGGTGTCGACGCGTAGGTCGTAGCGGACGTGGGGCGACGCCTGGGGGAGGTCGTCGGACGACGACGACGACGGCTGTGGCGACGGCGAGGATGGCGATGGGGGCCTCGGCGGGCCGTTAGCGGTGGGGGCAAAGTCCTGGGTCTGGGTTGTCGCGCTCCCTGCGGGGGCCTCGGCCGACGGGCGCCGAGACATGTCGGCGGGTATCGACGGGTGCTGTGCTGCCTATACAGTCCACTAGACTATGAGACAAAGCTTTGTGCGTCTCTTCTTGGCCGGGAATGGAATGGGTGGTGGAGAAGGGTGCGGAACCTGAGCTGGGCTGCGCTTGGTGGACCTTGGCGGTCATAATTAATTGTCTGTCCAATTGAAAGATACTAGGCCAACGACACTCTTCAATCAATTGCGGAAAGCGAATGGGATTACGGCTTCAGAATTTCAATCTGCTTCACCATTGTGATGTGAAGCGAGAAAGAAGTGAGAAAAAGGGGCGGGCCGGGCGTGTTTTCGACGTGTTTTCGACATGTTCCCGTCATACCCCAGCATTCTCACTGGGGTCCGCGCTGATGGATGGGCCGTTCCAGGCCCCCCCTGGCGCGCCTAGCCGTTGTGCTTGGGATCCAACTCGCTCTTCAGCCGCACTAAAAAGGGCCTTGGTTTTCGCCCACGGCTGCGAATCGCGTCAGTTGGTTGTGCTGGCTCCAGATGTGGCGCCCATTGCGAGGGCGGGGGTGTTCAGCTGGGATTGTATCGCAAGCCTTCTTTTCAGCCATCGGACCTGGTGATGCATGGACGATGATCTGTGGACGGCGCATGCGTTCATTGTTTATTCCTGCAGTGGACTACCACCGTGTGGCACTGCCCAATTACGAGCGAATGACGACATAGACATTGCTAAGTGTCACCAATTGTCGATTTCAGAAAACCCCAGGAAGACTGGGGGAACCTATCCTGAAGGCATCAAGAGCCACACACACTACAAAATGACGTCTTCAAACGCAAACATCGATGCCACATGGTCTTTGACTGAGCACCTGCTCGAGTCGAACCAGGCCTCGTACCAAGCAGCCACACAGTCACCGTTCCTGCTCGCCGCCGCCCAAGGCCGTCTCTCCAAGGAACTGCTGGGGCGCTGGCTCGCCAACGACAGGCTCTACATCCACAGCTACATCAAGGCCGCCGGGCGCGTGCTCGACGCTGTGGACCTGGACCAGACTTCCCCGGCTGCCGAGTCGAGCCCCGAGGCGGAGCTGGTCGGGTGGGTCGTCGAGGCGCTCGTCGGCCTCCGCCGCGAGGAGGTCATGTTCGCCGACGTCGCCCGGCGCTACGGCCTGGACCTCGCCCTGGACGCCAGCCCCGACGACCCGCGCCGGGTGCTGCAGTCGGCCAAGCTGCCGGGCCTGGTCCAGTTCGAGGCCCTGTTCGCGTCCGTGCTCCCCCGCGACGCCGCCGCCGCCGCCGCGCCGACCCCCGCGTGGCTCGAGGCCGCTGTGCTCCTCTGGGGCACCGAGCGCATCTACCTCGACGCCTGGAGCTGGGCGCGCGCCCAGCGGCCGGGCAAGGGGGAGGATGCGGACGGCGGCGCGGTGAGGAGGGAGTTCATGCCCAACTGGACCAACCCCGAGTTCGCCGCCTTTGTTAGCCGTCTGGGGAGGACGCTGGACAGGGCTGTGGGCCAGGCCCTGGCTGCCGTGGACCCGCCCCAACGACAGGCGGTCCAGGCAGGGATTGTGGAGCGGACGGCGGGCACGTGGAACGCCCTGCTAGCCGCTGAGGCGGCTTTCTGGCCCGGGGTGGACGGGTAGCGGCGCTTTTCTGGCGGCTGCGAGTTATTTTTACGTGGAGCGCAGTTTACCTGCTCACCGTGTCGGTGTAGGCTTCTTGGTTTGGTGACGCAAGAAAAAGTTGGGAGAAGGTGTTGTCGTCGATTGTCGCCTCGAGCCCGAGCCCGTGCCCTTAATTAATCTCATGTTTCCTTTCATGTCAATGGCACCCCTGAGCGGAGGGTTTTCGTCTCATGTTTAAGCACAAAAAACCCTCACAACCCAACCAGATGGGACAATCACTTTAGCCCAACGTGTAGGGTTTCAAACAGGCAGCCCCTGAGCTGGCATCGTCAAAGAAGCAATCCGATTACTCGCGTGACGCAGAGACGCCAGCTGTTTCTCTTGCTCGCTAGGAATCCCTTTTGCCTGTTAACTGACGTCTGATCTGATCTGATCTGATCTGGTCTGGTCTTGTCCTGTCTGGTCTCTGCTGCCTTTTTTTTTTTGTTTTTTGTTTTTTTGCTTTCGCGCTGTGTCCCCGCCAAAAGAGCGCGCGCTTACAACCCTTGCCGGGCTCCCGCGACGGCCGCTACGTAAGGGTCTCGGCGTCAATCCGAGGCCTGTCATGCAGCACCCGCTGCGCTAAGGGGGCATGCATCCAGAACCCCTCCAGCCAGTCACACAGAGGGAGCAGAGGCCCGCTGCGCAGACGAAACGAAACCAGAGCCGCCCTCCTCGCTGCCTGTCAAGGTCGACTTGAAACTTGTTTGCTGGAGTGGAAGCCGCGCTATTGGATTATTGCAGGACTTTGCACGTCGCACAAGCAAGCCTCTATCCCTCTGCACCTCCTCAGGAGCTTCACCTTAGCCGCTCTTTGTTTTCAGCCAGCCACATTGGATGCCATGATACCCGTGCCCTGACCATCACCATGTGAGATACTATAAAGTCTAGTTCGCCGTCGCTTCGCCTAGAAAATGGATCGTCTGCTCATCAACCCAATCCGGCATCTGTCTGTTCTCCTTTTGTGAAGATTTCCTTTCTTGTTCTTTCCCTTCACTTCATTTCTGTGAATAGCTTCAAGACGCTCCTTTTCACTCACCCTGCTGTGCAGGTTTCCATTCTCTCGCCCACCCGGCAAGCTGATCATACACTCCTTCAACTCCAAACCTCCGAGGCATCCACCTGCAACATGTTTTTCAAGCTCTCTACCGTCATTGCCTATGCGGCCCTCGCAGCCGCCAGCCCCATTGTCCCTTCGCTGAACGAGGAGGCGACCAAGGAGGCCCAGCAGCGCGACAACGGCGCAACTCGGTTCCGCTCCGATGTCCAGATCAAGGTGCGTCAGCCCGATGCCTGCCTCCAATATCTCCCCAGACCGTGGCTGACCTTGGGCAACGCGAGCAGACGTCCAACGGAAACTGCCTCACCATAGACAAGCTGTCCGGGGACTTCCGCGCGAACCTGACCCCGATCCAGGTCGCCCCGTGCGGCAGCAAGGACGGGCAGGGCTTCGACATCATCACGGCCGGGAAGCACATTGACCAGCCCAACTCGATGCTCGTCGTCAGCACCCTGACCCAGGCCTGCTTCAACTTTGACCCCCGCCGCGCCGCAGGGAACCAGGCCCTGCTGTTTTCCTGCGGCGGCCGCGCCGACGGTGGTGGGTGCTTCTCCTTGGACCAAACACACCTCCGTTGAGTTCTTCGTTCTTCTCCTGCTAATAAACCTCGTGTTTTAGGTGGTCAAGCAACGTCCTCGCAGCAGTTCGCCTTTTCCGGCAACGCCGCGTCCCTTACTTTCGAGCCCAACAACGCCAAGGGCACGTGTTTCACCGTGAAGGGCAACGCTCTCGACGTTGCCAACTGCAACGCCGGAGACGCGGGCCAGAAGTTCACCATCGAGGGTGCCGGCGGCGGCGGCGGCGGTGGCGGCGGCAACAACAACAACAACAACAACAACAACGGCGGCAACGGAGGTGGCAACGGACAGCAGCAGCCGCCAGCGGCGACCTCGTCTTCCAGTGCCGGAAACGGCAGAGGTGCGACCAGGGCGCCGGCGGCCACCACCTCTGTCGGCCGCGCCGGGTCGTCTCCGGCGCCGACCTCGCCGGCTGGGAACGGGGGTGGCAACAACGGCAACAACGGCAACAACAAGGCCATCCCCAACCCCACCACCCCCGTCCCCGTCTCCCGCGCGGGCGGCACCCTCCAGCCCAGCGCCGCCGCCGAGGCGCAGCAGCGCGACCCCACGGCCCAGCGCTCCTTCACCAACGTGCAGATCCGCACCGCCGACGGGCGCTGCCTCTCCGTCGACCCCACGGCGGGCGACTTTCGGCAGAACCTGATCCCCGTCGCCGTCTCCAACACCGGGGGTTGCAACGGAACCCCCAACGAGCGCTTCGACGTGGTCACCTCGGGCCGCCACAACGACGGCCGCCAGGGCGGCAGCCTGCTCGTCAGCTCGCTCATGGCCGGCTGCGTCAGCGTCGACCCGCGCCGCGCCGCCGGCGACACCGTCACCATGTTCAGCTGCGGCGGGCGCGCCGACGGCGGCGGCGAGACCAACGCGGGCCAGCTGTTCAAGATCGATGCCGCGTCGGCTGCTTCTTTCACCCTGGCCCCGCTGGGGGAGAACGGCAGCGTCTGCGTCGTCGTGGGCAGCAGTGGGAGGCTCGTCACCGGGCCCTGCGCCGGCAATGCTGGTCAGCGTTTTGAGATTGTCCAGTAGGTGGAATTTTTGTATTTTTTTGGGGAGAAAACTGCCGCGGCTAGCCGGCTTTACTTCACTTCTTACACTGTATCTTCATAGGCCTTTTTTTTTCTTTTTACTTTCTTGCTTTATCCCTTCCAGGGACGTTATTTTGATACCATATGAGCAACAGAAATACAAACCCGCTTACGTCATTATCGAATGATTGAACCCATTGCGCTTGAAACCCACTACACACTTACCCCTTGCCGTCGTTCAACTCACACGGCAGCCACCTCCTACATTACCCCCTGCGACTGGATCCCGAACTCAAGATCCCAAGCCGCAAACTCCTCTAAAACTCCCTCGCCCTCTTGGAGATGTAAACGTCCAGCCCCTCCTGAACTACGAAAAATGTCGCATGCGCCTTGAGGGGCCGCCCAGGGTGGACGAGCTGGAACCTGTAATCTCGGAGAAGCCTGGGGATCACCTTGTTGATCTCTAGCAGCGCCAGGTTCCTCCCGATGCAGACATGAGCACCCCCTCCAAACTGCAATCCCCCATAGACGTACGTCAGTGTCAGATACAGATCCAACATGATCAAACAACACAACCCGGCGGCTCATACGCCAGGACACAACTTCGAGAGACATACCTGGAACATGTACCGCTCCATCCTCTTTGCTTCCTCGGCGTCCTCGAGCCAGCGCTCGGGCCTGTACGCGTCCGCGTCCTTGCCAAAGACGTCGCGGTCGCGGTGCAGGACCCAGCCGTTGACGGCGAGGCGCGTGCCGCCGGGGAAGGGGCGGCCGTCGAGCTCGGCGCCCTCGGGGGGCACGAGCCTGGTGATGTTGAGCCCGACGGCCGGCCGCACGCGCATCGCCTCCTTGAGGCAGGCCTGGAAGTACGGGAGCGCCTGCGCCTCGGCCCACGTGACGTTGCCCGACGCCGGGATCCCGCCCGTCTCAGCCGCCGCGAGGACCTCGTCCGTCAGGATCTTGTGAACCCGCTCGTCCGACATGACGTGCCAGAAGAAGGACTGCATGGTCGAGGCGGTCGAGTCGGATCCGGCGAAGCTGGGATCACCTGTGAGCTACAAGGGCTGTCGCTATGTGAAATCGACAAAAAAGAATCACTTACATGGCACCGTGCGCAACGGCAAAAACGTCGGCTTGTGAGAATCTCTTAGGATCTTTGAGGTGGCCCTTGATCAAGCTAGCCAAAAGGTCCTGCCTCCCATCACCACCCCGAAACTTTCCCTCGCTGTCCTTATCAAACGGCTGGCGGCGGGCGAGCTCCTCCAGGGCCATGCGGGTTATGGGGGCGTTGGCCGTGTTGAGGCTGGGCACCAGGGCCCAGAGCGGGTTCCGCCGCAGCAGCCGGTCGAGGAAGGGCACCTGGCCGACGATGCCGTTGTAGCGCTGGGAGCGGTCGATGATGGCGATGGCGCCCTCGACGTCCTTCCCCTCGGCGAGGAACCCGAAGCTCCTGCTAAAGGCCACCTCGCCGAGCACGTCAAAGGCGAAGTAGTGCAGCCACGCGCCGAGGTCGAAGCGCGGGCCCCGGGCGTCCTTGGCCTGCGAGTTGGCCATACCGTCGAGCCTCCGGGCGAGCAGCTCGATGGTGTCGTCGATGAAGGGGCCGAGCTGCTGCATGGCGGCCATGCTGTAGGGCACGTTGGCCACCTTCTTCTTCTGCGCGTGCACGTGCTCGCGCACCTCGGTGAAGATGTCGGGGCTCTCGGCCGGCGGGAAGACCGAGTAGAAGTCCGTCTTGTAGAAGCGCTTACCCGCGCTCAGCACCAGCCGCGCCGCCTCCGGGGACGCGACCGAGACCTCGTTGGGCGCGATCCGCACAAAGGGGCCGTACTTTTGGTGCAGTTCCACGTGGTCGAGGTGCGTGCGCATCGAGTAGGTCGACCGGAACTTCCAGACGCGCGAGAAGGAGGCCAGGAAAGGACCCGGCAGGCGACGGAGGGGGGTTGCATAGCGGCGGTAGGCGGCGCGCAGAACCAAGAGGGCCAGGCCCAGAACTACGCAGTGGTTTATCACAAACCCCAGCGCCAGGGCAGTGACGCCCACGTTGGACATGTCGTCTGTCCCAGCCGTCATGATGGTCGATTTGGCCAAGACGATACTGAAACAGTCATACAGAGACTTCCTTTGTTGCCGGAAAAGGTGTGGTTCTGTCTGCGCTGTCTGCACAGGCAGGTTAGGCAGACAGCAGATAAGGAGACAGGTAGGGATGGAAAAGGTAAGAGTAAACGACAGGTACGCCTATACTAGCAGAGGGCTCCCTGCCTGTAGTTAAGTGCCCCCTCAGCCACTTGGAGAAGGATGGACGGCCACATGAGCAGTTATGCCATTGCTTTTTTGCTATCATTGCCCAGACTGCCCAACACCGAGCCTCCTTCGAGACCGGGGTCTTTGTTCGGCAGGCTGGGACTCGGCCCATTCTGCGGCACGCTCGTAGGATTCAGACCCGTCTGTTCTGCCCGCTGTCTCTGGTCGGCAGCTCGACCAACCAGAGAACTGCCGGCCCCCTCACCATGGGAAACTCTGGTGGGGGTTTAGGTTATCCCAGTGGGCCATTTACCGCTCGCCGGGGGAAAGGTGCCGGCTAGGAGGACCCAGACGGACGGGGTCATGACGAGTCTGGGATGGAACATGTGCAGCAAGAACACGAGCATAAACACTGAGATGGATTCCACAAGCTGCGCCGCCGTCGATCCACCTGAGTCTGGGAGACTTGTTTGTGGTATATTGCAAGGCCAGGTCAGCCCCGACGTTTGCAAGGTGGAATGCTCGCTCACTGCCGGTTGCCGTGGGCCAGTGCGGTGGACCCAGGTTGCAGTGCTTGCCCTAGCACAAATCTGGGGAACATGGTTGCCTCTGCCCCCACCACCTGTGGCTGGGCAGCTGGTCGCAGCATGACCCCCACAGCTTCGACAAGACAGGCTTGCATGTTCCTGGAAGGACAGCGTTGGCTCTCAAAAGGGATGCCTGCGACGAGAGATCCGCGTCCGAGGCATGGAGGACAAAGAAAATACGCACCTCTGACAACCCTGACTTGTCCTCTTTCCACTTTATTAGTGAGATCAGTACCAATTTCCTGTCTTTTGAAGGAGCGCTCGTTTTGCGAAAAGGGGGCCAGTGAGCGTCTGCGCGAGCAGTTGTGCTGAGCAACCAACGTAAAACATGGCCTTGGCTGCGTGGAACTTCCTTGTTCTGATCTCGTTCGTGGTGGAGAAGCTCGTTGGCTTCCATTTCCCCTCGTCAGCATCGAGCCGAATACCCTGCTGACATAAGCTGCTAGAGACAATTGGGGGTTCTTAATTCTGCCGCGCACCTCCGCCGTGACATCACTCGTAGCCGAGAGCCGGTGGTGATTTTTTCCGATTAGAAATGCATGCGCCGAAATAACGCCCGTACGATACCACCACGGCAGTGCCCCGTTTTGACGAGCCGCGCTTCGACTTCCTCCCCCCTCTCCCCGCGTGCGCTCCAAAACCCCCGCCGCAACCCCCCTCCCTCTCGCTCGCCATGGCCTGCGCCAACTCGGTATCCGCCGCCAGGCTGTTTCTCCAGATCACGTCCAGGAGGTCCCTGTCATCGGCGGCGGCGGCGGCAGCGTCCTCGCCCCTCCTCGACGTCCTGCTCCCCCCGCCAGCCGCAGCCACCTCTCGCTCCTTCGGCAGCCGCAGCAGCCACAGCCACCGGGCCGCCACCCCGATCTCGGCGCCGGCCCATGCCGCCCAACCCCCGCGCCGCCCCGCAGCCGCAGCGGTGCCGGCCCGGAGCGCCGGACCCCGCCGCCATGCGAACGCACACTTTTTCTCCGTGACCCCGGCCCGGCGGGCGACCAAGACCCTGTTCAACCCCCAAAGGGACGAGGATGGCAACGAGATGGGCCTGGAGATCACGCCAAGGGCGGCCAAGGTATTACACTACTCCCCCCGCAACGTGCTGTTGACTGATGCTGATGCCGGTGCAACAAACCCCCCCTCGCCCCAGAGGCTATCCGATATCATGGCCAAGGATGCGAATCCGCACCTTGCCTTGCGCGTCCAAGTCGAGAGCGGCGGCTGCCATGGCTTCCAATACCTGATGCGCCTCATCACACTCCCGTCGTCCCTGCCGGCTTCCCCCCCGACCCCCGAACCGTCCTCGACCTCGGATTCCTCCGAGCCATCCGAGCAGGCACTCGGCGAGGACGACACCATCTTCACCTTCTCCGATGGCGACGGTCCCGGCAGCCTCACGGAACCAAAAATTGTTCTAGACACGTCGTCACTAGAGCTGCTGAAGGGCAGCAAGGTCGACTTCACAATGGAGCTAATAGGCTCGCAGTTCAAGATTGTCGACAACCCTCTGGCAACAAGCAGTTGTGGCTGCGGCACAAGCTTCGACATCAAGATATGAATGTGGCCGAGGCCGAGCATATACATGTACAACTTTAGCTTCAAAATAACAAGATGTCTGTATTGAGCGTAATAGAGCTTTGCGCAGATACGCTACTGTGCAGCATCGGCCTCGCCCCTCAGGTTTATTCACTCTGCACCAATGGGCCGGACATGAACATGAAAGAGATAAGGGAGGCTTGATCACATTGGCCGCGGAGACGTGCAGTTGTCTTAGAAGTCATCAATTCCCATCAAAAGCCCCTGTGCTTTTGCTCAAAACGCCGTGCATCCATGCCATTTTTGTAGTGCCAAGACCGAAAAAAGCCAACCCAATCCCCTCGCCCAGACACCCGGAACAGACAAACAAGAAGGAATCTAGTTCATCTGCCTAATCAGGGCGTTGATGTTCTCCTCGCGGTTGCCCAGGTCACCACCCTCGATGAAGTGCTTGAACTTGCGGGTGCGGAAACCGCCGTTGGGGTTGCTGAGCTTGAAGGGCCACAGGAAGTTGGAGGCCTGCTTGAAGTTGGGGCCGACGGTGGAGATCTCGTGGATCAGGTCCTCCACGCAGATGATGCCGTACTTGCCAAGGTTCTCCTCGATGATGGAGTTGTCGGTCAGGGCAATGCGCTGCTTGTTGACCTTGCCGTATCCGCGCTTGTAGATGAGCTCCTTGATGCTCTTCAGGTTGGGGTAACCGTAGGCGACCCAGGGCTCGACGACCTTGATCATCTCCATGGTGGCCTTGGTGACGCGGACAAAGACACCGTTGTTGATCTGGAGAAGACGGAGGAGCTGAAGGATCTTGCGCGGCTTGGGGGCAATCTTGTTGATACCCTTGATGCGCACGACGAAGATCAACTTCTGCTCGGCGGGGACGTAGAACTCGCCGCTCTGCTTGGCGACGCGGTGGAGGCGGATCTTCTCGCGCTCGGCATCGCGGTACTCCTTGACGTACTTCTCAGCACGCTTGAAGATGACCTGGCGTTTCTCCTTGTTGGCCTGGAGTCGAGGTATCATGTTAGCATGGGCCGCAAGCCAAGACAGCAAGCTTGTGTGGTCAAGCATGGGTTTCCTCGTGATAAGGTCAGACCCGAAAGATGGTATGTTGCGACAGCATCGAACGAAGTCTAGTCCGCAGGTGTATGTTTTCCATCATTCCTTCCACTCCGAAAAAGTATCCACACAAGCAAAGGCTGGCGTCACTGACCTTCTTCTTGTTCTCAATCTCAGCGAGCTTCTCGGCGCGAGCCTTCTCCTGGCTCTTGCGCTTCTTGAGAAGGGTCTCGGGGACCAGGATCTGGTCCTTGGTGGGGACACTGTTCCGACATGATCAGATTAGTACGCGGTCCGGCATACCGTGATGGTATGGATCAAGAGCGCCGGTTGAGAACTGCTGCCAAGATGCGACATTCTCGGGTGGCTAACTCGAAAGATGAACTTGATCGGTGAGATGGATCCAAGATGCAAAGCTTTCAATGCCCACAAGGGAGCCTGTCAAGCAATTGCTTCCTTGTCGACCGCTGACACTCATCCAACAACACCCCTTTGCAGCGAGCAAAAAGCAAGCATGCTTTGGGAAAATATGCACGATCGCGCTCCCAGGACCAGCCGGCCATATCCCAGGCGGTGGCCCTTTGGTGGGTTGGCAAGCGGCAATGGATTTAAGGGAGAAGAGAGCGAGTCTCTTTTTCCCCAACACCCTTCGCAACATCTCTCAGTCCGCAAGTCATTGTTTCAGACCTGGAGAAAAGAGGGAGAGGCGAAGGAAAGTTCGAGCTGGCGACGATGCACAAACACAAGCCGGCCCAAGGGGGCTGGACATGGCTGTGCAGTCGACCTCCAGCGAGAGGACCACGACAATCTGCAACTTTCGCGACGTCTCGACCGACGACAGCAAGATCGGGCAGATCAAGGGGAAGGGAGGTTGCCATACGTAGCGGCCGACATTTTGGCGTTGGGATCGAGAAAGAACCTCCGAAATGGTCTAGAGACTTGGGTGTACTAAGGAAGAAAAAAAAAGGTGGAAGTCGAGATGTTTAAATTTCAGGGACGAGGAAAAGACTTGCAAAAGGCGGTGGGTGGGTTCCCACACATGAAAAAAAAAATCGGGGGGTCCAAGTCGCCCTCTGATTGGCTCCTGCTACTGTTAGGGTTTGGGTTTTGCTAGGGCTTTTTCGATTTCTCGCTTTTTTCTGCCATTTTTGACCGCCGCTGGCCTGGACCGAAAGAACGTCCCACACAGTCGCAAGCACCTGCAATTATTCTCGTCTCTTCCAAGCAAAGCCGGAGAGCCACCAACGACAACAACAACCACAGCCACCGTCAAGACAACCAATTCCAAAATGGCCCCGAAGAAGACTCAGCGTCCCGCCCAGGAGAACATCTCCCTGGGCCCCCAGGTCCGTGAGGGTAAGTGACGGCGAGGACAGGCGAGGCCGGCCGACGGCGGTTTGGCCATCTTCCCCTCAGTTGCGCACCTGCGATTCGCTAACAAAACCGTCCCCCGCGATCACTAGGCGAGCTCGTTTTTGGCGTTGCCCGTATCTTCGCTTCCTTCAACGACACCTTCGTCCACGTCACCGATCTGAGGTAAATACGCACTCGAGCGAAGAAAGAGAAAGAAACGCCAGGAATTGCGCAGATGGGGGAGGGGGCGCTCGTGGACGGGCATACGAGGGGGCTGTCTGTGGGAGGCGGTCTTCTGCCAACCCACGGGCTACCCCCTCCCTCTCTCGGTTTCGCTGGTTTTGGTTCGTAAGCTAACCGCCATGGGTGATTCCAGCGGTCGCGAAACCATCTGCCGTGTCACCGGTGGCATGAAGGTCAAGGCCGACCGTGACGAGTCGTCGCCCTACGCCGCCATGTTGGCTGCCCAGGACGTCGCCGCCCGCTGCAAGGAGCTGGGCATCACGGCCCTGCACATCAAGATCCGTGCCACTGGAGGTTGGTGCCCGCGCGGCGTGCTTCCTCCCTCTGACAGCATCCATGCATGCTGACAAACCACAACCACAGGCAACGGCACCAAGACCCCCGGCCCCGGCGCCCAGTCGGCTCTCCGCGCCCTGGCCCGTTCGGGCATGAAGATCGGCCGCATCGAGGACGTCACCCCGACTCCCTCCGACTCGACCCGCCGCAAGGGTGGTCGCCGTGGTCGCCGTCTCTGAGCGCGTGCGCTCGTGGGCGGGGGCTGCCGCCGACAGGTGGTTGTGTATGGGTTGGTTCTGGTTTCGCGGATCTGGGCTTCTTTTGCGGCGTTGACTATTACGAGGGGAACGGCTTGCTATTTGCCTGGTCTCCATTTCACGGGTATGGTCGCATGATGCTTTTGGCACGGCTGCGGGGGCATGAAAAAAATTCTAGACAGAAAATTTCACCAGATGAATCTGACGACAGAGCTTTCCTGATCAATTTTGTCCTGGAGTAGAAGGATATGCGGGGCTGGATGTCTTCCCCTGACCCCTTCCCTTGTGCCAGGTCCCTTTTATTGTGCAACATATTTATACAGTAGGCGGGAACCCCCCTATCGACACCCGCTAAAAAGGAATGGGGCAAAGCGGAACCACCTAGGCCACACTCGGGGCTGATTAAAACATATACAACTCGTTGGTAGAATGGTTGAGAAAGCCAGCCACACAGAAGGCCACGCAAAATCAGGCGAAGCGCGGCTGGCTGTTCCTGAACTCGGGCTTGAGCTTCCAGATGCCGCGCATGGTGGACCCCTGCTTGTCCAGCACGGCGACGCGGCGCAGGGCCTCCTTGAAGTCGCTCGACTGCTGGCCCGTGACGCACCACTGGTTGAAGTGGTCCACCAGGGCCTTTGAGGCCGCCTGGCCGCCGTGGCGGCGCATGAAGGGCGGTATCATGCGTATGAAGTCGTTGATGCCGTACGTCGTCGCCGCCGGCGTGCCGGAGCGGGACGAGCCCGACGCGCTCGCCGCCGCCGCCGCCACCGCCGGCGAGTTGCGGTTCCTGGCGGCGGCGGCGGCGGCGGCGGCGTTGTTTGCGCCGCGGATGCCGTGGCGGTCCGCGATGCCCGAGATGAT